TCCCATGAAGTTCACCGCATGTTAAGTGAAGTATGGACAGGCCATCTGTACTTTTCTTTTGAAGCTGAGAACCATTCAAGCTGGGAAAAATCTGTTGTTTTTACCAACAAGCAACGGGTCCTTTCAGAATAAAGCTGAACTCACTGACCCAAGGAGGGTCCCCTTTTTGACGCTGTGAAACACCTGTCGCTTTTTACCTGGAGAATATCCAAGGACTAGTTTGTTGTGCTGTGACGCTGTACCATTGGCTCCAGTACCGGAAGGAAGGTCCGAGGACCTGGACATTCTGGATCCATCGTGGAGGTCTCACTGAGGGTATGTGGATGCGACAAAATGGCGTCTCATGTGTTTATGACTACGGGTCCCAAACTCTGATCAGTTAGGAGCAAAACATCATCTCCCACTCAAACTTTGCTTCTCCGGATGCGAAGGTTCTGAATAAGACATCATTCACACACACCATTCACCTCACACTTCATTCCAACAAAACATCCATCATTAGAGAGGTAGTCTTGTTAAATTGTTTAAAATTATTTAGTAATAAATTTACTTAAACGTTGAAAGTCTCCCTCTTCTCTTGTCTCTCAGTTAATGCAAAGTGTTGTTAGAAAGTCCCTGTACTAAAAAGATCCAATCTTCTGATTTAAATAACCCAGCGTCCGTAAGATGGGATTCATACCAGATATGAATTTTTTATGTCTTATGGTTCTTAATAAAATGTAATCAAATCCGTCATTACACACACATATATATGTATGTATGAAGCAAAAAATGCTCATCTGACTGAAAATTTTCTGTGTGTGTGTGTGTGTGTGTGTGTGGGGGGGGGGGGGGGGGGGGGGCTTACATTGTTTACATGCAGCCACAATTTTATGGCGTCAGATGGGTGCCAAAATCCGTGCATGCATATTCCACGTGCACGGGTCCACATCGCACGTTTGAATGGGACTCGCGCGTGGAAGTTAGAACCTCTCGAGTGAAAATATACATGGCGAGAGGTCATTTGTACACTGACAGGGAGCAATCTGTGTTTGTGAGCGCACAATGTTGTGCACAAGTGACAAACTTGCGTGCGCGCGTTGGCCAACGAGCACATGGCAGAGGAAAACATGCGCGCGGCAGCCTTTCTGCGCGCTCGGCTGTGGGGAAATTTGGCACTCTGGAGGCGTGGCCTGTAGCTGATCTTTTCTGTCCTCTGATTGGTAAGTTTTTTTCCGCTCCTTACCCTCTACCTCATTGGCCCACTGGTTTCCTCGCGGAGCACAATGGGGGTAGCGGAAAAACAAATCTGATTCAAACTTTAGTAAGTACTTTTATAGCTCAGCTGGTAGAGTCGATGGCTTTCACTCGGAGGATCCATGTTTGAAGATCACCAGAAAACACTTGAGTTTTTTATTTTTTTGTTATTCCAGTGATATCTTTTACAGTTATGACCGTTCAACTGTCATTGAATGTCCAAATGTTTGCTGGGCAGTGTTTTAAAACGTGTATATAAGCTAGATGGCTTTAACCTTATGAAATTATTATTTTTTTGATACTGGAAAAATGCATACTGAAATAAAACTACTGATTGTAAACTTTATGCCCGTGGTTGTACTTAAATAGAGTGATTAGAGCAGGAGCATTACAATATGAGTCACTAATACACCGGGAAGGCCCTTAGAGTGGGGGTTCGGTTGAGAGAGAGAGAGAGAGAGAGAGAGAGAGAGAGAGAGAGAGAGAGAGAGAGAGAGAGAGAGAGAGAGAGAGAGAGAGAGAGAGAGAGAGAGAGAGAGAGAGAGAGACAGAATTTGTATTCTGTCAAAGTTGTAATATTACATCAGCCACTCTTGAGAGGTGACTCCAGGTAAAAATAGACGTGTGGGTGTAGGTCTGTTTTAAAAGTTCTTGCCCCATTAATGTATTGTTTCTTTTTTTCAGCATTTAATTGACAAATTATCCTTTCAAATAATTAATTGATGAGTTACATAATTGTCCATTTAGAATTCTTGAATGGACTGAGTCAATTCTGGTGCACTTTATTTATTTCAAAACATGTTTTTTTATTTTAATGATGCATATAAATAATCTAAATGATAATTTATTTAAATATTGCCCCTTTGGGCATACATATTTTGTTGTCTTTAATTATGAACATCTACATCAACATGTATTCAATTTCTTTCGGTTTGCAACATATGACATCCTGATTCGCTTTTTGTGCTTGCTTCTGAGCTCTCTACCATCCATGGTCAGTGTTTGACAGGCACATAGAGACCCCATATTTACAGGCCATATGCTGCAACCTATCAACAAGTTTTTTCTATTTTGTCATTACCTCACCCTTGTTTCCAAAAAACGGGACCTTGCTGGATAATAACATCATGGAGCAACTATTTGTTCACAGTACTTGGCTCAGTGAGGATCTGTGTACCAACGGAGGAGATACTCGGAAATCTGTCTGCAGATTGTTACAACCCAGTCCAGGAGTGGTGGGCTGTAACAAGAAAGGAGACCAAACAGAGGGGTGGGGGTTTAACAGCTGATTTATTTAACCAAAGTAAGGATTTACTAAAGCAAGTTAATGAACAGAAAATGGCCAGAGAGGACTCTCCACCACACAGGAGAGACCCAGTGAAAGCAGAAAAACAGTGGGCTTTATAGGCAGCACCACACCCTGAGCCCAGGTGCCTCCAAGGCTGCTTAACAAGCTGCCTGCAACAGAAGATAAAACACAATTAAACACAAATGAAAACCCAATGAGACGGTGGGGGCATCACAACACGTTCAGGACCACCCAAACACCAGTAATTCTTGACTGCAATGAGCTGAGGTGTCAATGGCCATCTTCCCCTCTCTTCCAGAGTCAAATGCTTTCCTCAAGTTCAACTGCACTTCCAGCAAACATTCGGACATTTAACGACAGTTGAACGGTCATAACTGTAAAAGATATCACTGGAATAAAAATAAATATAACCTTATATGTCATCTGTTGTCCTAGCCTGAATTCAAACCCAGTTCCTCCGAGTGAAAGCCATCAGCTCTACCAGCTGAGCTATAAAAGTACTTACTAAAGTTTGAATCAAATTTGTTCTTCAGCTACCCCCATTGTGCTCCGAGAGGAAACCAGTGGGCCAATGAGGTAGAAGGTAAGGAGTGAAAAAAACGTACCAATCAGAGGACAGAAAAGATCAGCCACAGGCCAGAGTGCCAAAACTCCCTACAGCCGAGGGAGCAGAATCGGAAACCGAGCGCGCAGAAAGGCTGCCACCCGCAGTGAGACTGCCGCCAACTGTTTTCCTCTGCCTTGTGTGTGTGCTCGTTGGCCAACGTGCGCACGCAAGTTTGTCACTTGTGCACATCCTTGTGCACTCACAGACACAGTTTGCTCCCTCTCAGTGTACAAATGACCTCTCGCCATGTATATTTTCACTCGAGAGGTTCTAACTTCCACGCGCGAGTCCCGTTCGCACGTGCGATGTGGACCGCGTGCACGGCGTTTTGGCACCCATCTGACGCCATAGAGCATCAGTTCAAGTTAGCCCTGTTTTGCACCTGAAATTAATTGCTGTAGTTCAGCCTTAGTAGAACAGTGAGACTCATACTCATCACTAAACCGGTCACCTCCTGGAACTTATTTATGTTTTTATCATGATAAATGTTTTTATGCCTTTGTGTTAAGGGTTGGCTGTTTTTGACGTGATTTTTTTTAGTGAAGCTAGCTGGGTTTGGCTAAAACATGTTGCTATTAAGGCCCTGTCCACACGTAGCTGGGGATCTGCCACAACGTAGATATTTTTCTACGTTTTGGCCTGTCATCCACACGAAAACGGAGTTTTTTCACATGAAAACGGATCTTTTTAAAAACTCCGGCCAAAGTGAAGATCTGCGTTTTCTCCGTTTTGGGTGTCTGCGTGTGGACGGACAAAACCGGAGTTTTAAGGTCCGCAACGTCACTTTCCGCGACAAAAAAATGCTGACATCACGTGTGCGACCTGTGTTTACACTAGCCGGCATCATGGAAGCCCTCAGAGCTGCGCTCTGTCACTAACCGATCCATCAACTGTCCAAGCGCTTTTTGCTTGTTTATATTTGCAAGCGGAATTACTGCTCCTTGCGGAAGACCACAGACGAAGGACGAGGTTAAGAACGGGGGAAGTACTGCCGCCTACATGTCTGGCATGTCCTTAACAACGTATTTATCCGGGTACGTGTGGACAGAGTTTGTTTTTAAAACGAGGTGGTGTGGATGCAAGTTTTTGGAGGGGCGGATATTCGTTTTTAAAAAACCCCGGCTACGTGTGGACTAGGCCTAAACTTTTGGTTTGAACTTAGTTGAAATCACTCAAGGTGTGTGGGGTGGATGACCCTCTGTCATGGTCCACAGCAAGAACAGACTGGTACTGCAGGGTAACGATCCCTGTCTCATTGCTGAGAGTACCGTTATAGCACCGTTCTTTGTGGTTTTACTTTGACTGGTCTTCAGAACCAAAAAGCTTATTTCCGCTTGAAAACTTTTCTGGATCTGAAGTTTGTGTCCTTTGCCCTTTTCTGTTTGATGTTTTCTTTTTTGCAGAGTAACGAGGACTTTGGTAAAGTTTGCTGTCTTTAGGGTTCAGTTAGTCTCAAGCTGGAAGAAAGCCTAAAAACTCTGTTTTTCATTTAATTTTTATCAGGTTACACGAAACCAAATTACATTTCCAAAGCATATTTGTCAGTAATTTTTTTCTGCAGCTTATAAAACCAACAGAACAAAAAAGTTTCTCCCAAAATATTTACAGAAAGCTTTTATCTGACGCAGAAAAACGTTTCAAACTCTTTAAAGGTCGTGATGTCAAGCAAAAAGAAACTTGATCGGTTTTGGATAACAGAACATCATAAATAAAAGTCACGCTACCATAAACATGTATGTATTTGTTCAGTTAAAGACAAAACACCCCAACGTTCTTTGCTGTTCAGCCTGTTCTAGACTCCAGTCCGGTAGGTGGCGGTAATGCACCTTTACGCTTGTTGTCAACCGCCCAAAAGTATAATGAGAAGAAAACGGGAAGCGGTTAGCTTGTTGTGTTGGTCTGTGAACAAATGATCCAACTGTGCAGTCTTCTGCTCCATTTCCGAGAGAGTTTATCAGCAAAATCGTCTAATTGCTGCTACTGTAGGAATATTCTTACTGGCTCATGTTCTTATTTTTATTCTCAACAACTTGGTGCGAGTCTTTTCCAGGACAAAAGAAGATATTATGCAGTCTTCGTGACAGTCGGAGCTCCAAAATAAGGTCAGCACTAAGTTTTATAGACTTCCCACCCTCTGGGTCTGCTGTTGTTCTTTTGCCTGCCTTTGTTTTACCCTCAAGTTGAAGAGGTTCCCTTTATCATCATCGTGCGGATCTCTGCTTGGTCTGCTCCGCTATCTAGCAGGATTTGAAGTAAAATTAGCATGATATTCACAGATTCGACATTTCCCTCTCAATAACTCCGGATTAGAGTGTTCTGTAGAAACATATAAAATCTTTTCAGAATCGTGGCAAGGTATCAACAAGCTACATCCTTGTTTTCTTTAAAACGACCCGTCCTCTGATTGCGACGCATTGCGAGGAGCGCTTAGGGACCGTCTGCAAATGGAAATACCAGAAGCGGCTCATGAGAATAAAAGATCAAAATCTCCACTTTTGTACACTGTCCACCACATTCATAAAACATAACACTGAACACAGTGCACTCCCACGTTCAAAAAAGTTTCGTTAGCACGTTGACGCATTATAGTTTTGAAGAGGAAAAAAAAAACACTATGCAGTTCTAAATAAAATTTTGTTGAAAACAAAAACAACTTCAGATGTCTGCAGCCAGATCTTCTTGTTGATTGGAAAACAGCTTGGAATGAACTTGTAGTACTGCAGTCCACCAGAGAGGCAGCAGCAGCTTAAGGTAGTGAGACTGTGGTGAAGTTAGCTTTATGTTGGATATTTGATGGATGTACAGTACAGTCCAAAAGTTTGGACACACCTGCTCATTCAATGTGTTGTCTTTATTTTCATGACCACTTACATTGGTAGATTCTCACTGAAGGCATCAAAACTATGAATGAACACATGTGGAGATATGTACGTAACAAAAAAGGCATGTGTGTACTGCTTTACACACTCTTGGCATTCTCTTGATGAGCTTCAAGAGGTAGTCACCTGAAATGGTTTTCCAACAGTCTTGAATGAGTTCCCAGAGGTGTTCATCACTTGTTGGCCCCTTTGTAAATGGTCATGGTCATGAAAATAAAGAAAACACATTGAATGAGAATGTGTCCAAATGTTTGGCCTGTACGGTACGCTTCATGGTTCACTACAGCCAGTGCACTGTGGCGGAGACGTGGATCGCTCTACTCCATCTACTTAGATCACCAAACGCTCTCTTTTCCAGACTGGATCTGTTCTCAGCTGATTAGAACTAAACAGTTGGGTCTTTATTCTCAAGCATTATTTTGAAACATCTTAAACAGCTCTTCTACTTTGTTTCTATTGCAGCTGTTGGCTAAACTCGGCTAACTAAAACATGCTACCACTTTAGGACCATCGATTATCATGAGTATTTCACCATAAGGATCTGGACAGCATGAATACAGGTACTGTTACAAAACTGCTAGTGAGTGAGTGAGTGTGGTTTTCTCATATATTTTCTGCTTATTTATTCAACAAGTCAACTATCAAACTATCAGTCCTCCCACATCTATGTAGCGTTATGGATTGTCTACATTTTAAATTAACCTAGAAAAATTTGCATTTCTTGTAGAAATGCGGTTTGAATGCTGGATAGCTGAAACTGTAAGCTGAAGCTGCTGAACAGCTGAACTGAAGTTGAAACTAAGCAAAACTGTCAAAATGAGCTGAATGTGTTGAAAGATGTAGAGGCAAAAAGCACCAACAAGCAAATAAAGCACAAAAAGTAAGTGAAGAATGGAGAAAAATAATCCCAAATAGCAAAAAAATCTGTGAACATTGTATGGCCTGTAAATGACCTGTATTTGATATAGCGCCTTCTAGAGTCATGGAACCCCTCAAGGCGCTTTACAACACAATCAGTCATTCACCCATTCACACACTCATTCACACACTGGTGGGGATGAGCTACGATGTAGACACAGCTGCCCTGGGGCTACTGGCAGAGGCGAGGCTGCCGAGCACTGGCGCCACCGGTCCCTCCTACCACCACCAGCAGGCAACATGGGTTAAGTGTCTTGCCCAAGGACACAACAACAGCGACAGACTGAGCGGGGCTCGAACCTGCAACCTTCCGATTACGGGGCGAGCACTTAGCTCCTGTGCCACCGTCGCCTATAAAAATCTGGACAGCTAAAATGTCTGAGCACTTGTAATTTCAGTTGGACAAGTTTAACAGTTTAATCTTTACATTTAGCTGAACTGTGAAATTAGCAGTTTATGCTAAATTTGGTAACTGATTGCTGAAGTTGTTGAATAGCTGAACTGAAGCTGAAACGAAGCTAAACCGTCAAATGAGCTGAATGTAGTGAAAGATGTGAAAGCAAAAAGCACCAAGAAGCAAATAAAACACAAAAAGTAAGTGAATAATAGAGAAAAATAATCTTAAACAGCAGAAAACTGAAATCTGGGAACATTGTATAAAAATCTGGACAGCTACAATGTCTAAACACCGTTTATTTCAGTAGGACTAGTTTAACAGTTTAATTTTTACATTTAGCTGAACTGTGAAATGAGCAGCATATGCCGAATTCAGAAAATGATTGCTGAAGCTGCTGAATAGCTGAAGTGAAGCTGAAACTAAGCTAAACTGTCAAAATGAGCTGAATGTATTTAAATATTTAGAAGCAAAAATCACCAACAAGTGTAATAAAGCTCAGAATACAGGTGGAGAATGGATAAAAAATGCTAAACAGCAGAAAACTTTAATCTTTCAACATTGATTAAAAACTCTAAATTTAAAATGTTAAACAGCTGGCATTTGAATGAGAATAGTTTAACGGGTACATTTTTACAATTGGCTGAACTGTGGATTTAGAAATATTTACTGATATCTGAAACTGATAGATTAGCATATGTTCAGACTTGATATGGGATGGATGAATGAAATGATGGATGGATTGTTGGATGGATGTTAGATGGTTTATTGCAGTGGTTCCTAACCTGGAGGTCCCCACCCCCACAAGGGGGCGCCAAAGCCTCTCAGTGGGTCGCCAGGACCTCTCCACTTTAAGGGGTTAAAACTTCATTTATTACTTGTTTATAGCCTACATTTTGCTCACATTTTTTTTCATGAGTGAAAAGTTTACTGATTATAAGACAGGAAATAATTAGTACAGAAAAAGTAACACACTTTTAAGAACATTTTGCTCAGCTCACTGTTTTATTTTCAAGTGTCAAAAGTTCATTAAAGATAGGACTGGTTGATTAATCACAGCCTTTACAGTAAATAAACTAGTATAAACAGTAATATACACATTTAAGTACATTTTGCTCAGTGATATTTTTTATGTGTCAAACGTTTATTGAAAGGAATGATTGATTTATCAGTGTTTACAAGAAACAATGTGTTCAGAAAAGTAATACAAACTGTCAAGCACATTATGCTCTGTTTGGTTTTGTTAATGACTTTGTTCTGTACTGGAGCCTACTATTACTGTTATCTATTGAATCAAAGCATATTAAAATGTGCTTGAACAATTGTATCATTTCTTAATAATGTTTGTTCTGGAAGAGAGAATGGGAAGGGGTCATCAAAAATTTTACTGGTAAAAAACGGGTCCCTTGGGAAAAAGGTTGGGAACCACTGGTTTATTGGATGGATGGATGGATAGAAGCATGTATGGATTTATATGTAGATGGATGGATTCCTTAGGCCAAGCCGATCGATTTGATGTCTCACATGCGTGGGTGTGTAATTCCATTTAGCCAGAAGATGATTGACCTCTCTCAACCAATCAGGGGGCTGGGTGGGAGCGGGGCACTTTCCCACCTTCTGACGGTCAATCACATTGAACTTGTTTCTAGTTTTAAGTACAAACAGTTCAAAAAGATCAACAACAGGAGTCTGTTCATGGCTCAATATTCTGCTTTTTAATATTCATTCCTATGAGACTTGGTTAAAGTGATTTGTAGTTCCTTGTGTTGCCATGGTAACAGATGACAGGAGTCTGCTTTAATAAAGCAATGTACAATGTCACATGACTCTTTTAAACTTTGAATAACATTTCTATATTAAAGTATGTTGATACAGTTGTGTCTAATTTTCAGTTTAGAGTGGTGGGAAGCATTTTTATTTTATTTTAATATTCTCAAAGAAATGAACCGTACGATCACAATGTTTAGAGTACATTCATGAATTATAGCTCAAAACGAAGGTATATTCGTAAGCTGTAAGCCAGCGTGTGCCTCATTTCAATCGGACCTACGGTTCTCTCGGGACTATGCCAGAAATGGAGCAAGGGAGGGTCGATGCTCCTATCTTTCCCCATTATAACTTTTGTGAATTTTTCTGAAAATTTCAAGTCGTACCTCAGCTTCTACCTGCGATTTCAGAAAAACCGTAAAAGATATCAAAAAGCCTCTTTAATATGTTAATTAAAGGGACTATAGGGAAGTTTGACAGTCGAAACATGTATAGAAATAATAAATTTCTTCTTCATACATTCTCCTGCAATGCCCTGGTCCTGTAGAATGAGCCCTGGCATTTTTACTGTGATTGCCTGTTTTTCTGTAAAATCACAGAAAAAGAGAGTTGCTCGGGTCGAGTAGGCTGCTTCATGCATGTTCACGCTCAGGCATAGCCCGTAGCATTTGCTATCCTTAACTTTAGCAGCAGAGAGAGAGGCAGTGCCACTTTGTCACTGTTCCTAACAGCTTAACAGCATTCAAACAATAAAGAGAAACAGGATCACTATAGTTTAATTGCTTTAGAGCATTCAAACAATGATCAATAAGATGTGATATTCCATATGAATGACCAATCTGATTGGTCTTTGAATATTTGATTTGGTGTTGCAGTGTGAGCGTCCTGTCACTGTGTCCCGATTGATCATGCGCCCTGGCTACTTGGCCAAGGGGATGTTCCTTTGGCTGACCGGTTAGCTCTCACCCGGGAGTCTGGGGATCAGATCCCGCCCGGGCCCTCGTTTCTCCACCTTGCCACATTAGCATTACCTTTATGTTCTTTGACTATTCGGGGTACACACACTTTATATTAATTCAGACAGAGTCAAGGATATAGGGTGTGTCCAAATCCATGGGAAGGATGCTTATGAGTACGGGTCCTCGCCGGTCTAGCAAGGCCGGGTCCTTGCTAGACCGCTAAGACCGGAACACAGCGGCTCTGAATTCGGACAGTCTAGCCTTCACCTCTACGGTGGCCCGTAGGTCCCGTCACAGCTGTGGCGGCAGCTACACGCAGAGGAAAAATGCTAAAGCTAGCGAAAATGGAGCAGGAATATTAAGGAGCTACAGCAGCTTCACGTCCATCAGCAGCGTTTGTTCACCAACGTTTTCAGGTAAAGTAACTTTGTTTATTCTAGAAGCTTTCAGGACTTACATGTTAACTTTAGATGGTTTCATGTATGTTTTAAGCTACAGAATGAACTTGTTAAACGTACACAACACATTTCTACAGAGTATTATCATGTAGGTAATTAATATAAACCAAATGCATTATAAATGTTGAATGCAGCAGGATGTTTTCTAATTTTATTTGGACCGTAGAATTTCTTATTTAGCATCAAATGAGGATAAAACGTTTTAAAAAACAGGCTTTTTAATAAAATAGCATTGAAGTGTTTTCAGTGTGCATTTGTTTATTCAACTTAAGCCTAATAATGAATAGATCTGTCTTAAAAATGTAAATTCTCTGTAGTTTTCCCTGCTGCTTTTCTTTAAACTGAACAGAACCAGTGTACTGCAGGTTGTTTTGTTTTACATTTTTCAATAAAAAACCTTTTTTTAATCTATTACAGGTCAGCATGCACTGTGCTGCACATCTGCCTCTGTGCTGGTGAAGTTGTGGGTCTGGAGGATGAGCCTGAGGAAGATGTGTGTGGAGGAGGTCAGTGGTGCTCTGTCCTGCAGGAAGTACCAGCAGACCACCACTACTGTTAACAGGCAAGTCATTTATGTAGGAACCTCTATTAAAAACAACACTGTGGTTTTATTTGCTGAAGAGTCACAATTGTTATACCAGTGGATCCATAAACCATCTCCTCTCATATTTCTGAATATGTCTTAGAAATGTAACAGCCATCGTCTGAGCCAGCCCAGCAGTCCCTGTAGATGGACGATGGAGTGGACAGTGAGAGGAAGCGTCCCAAAGCTCTCTCTGCAGACCGTCCTGTATGATGTTCCTCCGACCAGAAACGTCCAGCCACGGTTCTGCTCCAGCCCTCCATCCACGTCTGGATCCTCCTGCAGCAGATCCAGCTGCACTGTTAAAGACTTCCTGCTCACTCAGTTAAAATAAATGATCCAGGAAGAGTCACTCAGGTTAATCCTGCTTTAACTGTACATAACTGGTCCATACTGGTTTTGATCTGTAAATAAGTGTAATGTATTATAAATAATCTTGTCTCCTTACCATCTTTTCATTTTCTGTTCATGTGGCATGTTC